CCCCTTTCCACGCACACTCGAGCCTATGTACCTCTGCACTTTACTTCCGAACTCCTCTGAGTCTCAGTGTGCTTTTCTCTTTCCTTCTAGTTGTAGAATTTCCACTCAGCCAGCCTTCCTGTAGTTCTGGATGATGTCCGTTTTGTCTTTTCATTGTATTTTTGAAGTTGTTGTGGGAGGCAGCAATTTCCCGTGTTTACCTATGCCACCATCTTGGTTTTTCAAGAATTCTTTACATATTTAGGTACTAGTACTTTGTGACTTTGCGGTTTGCAAATATTTCCTCTCAGTCTGTAGACTGTCCTCTCATCCTTTCTAATCTTGGTTTTCATGATTTCATTCTTTCATGTATCTCTAACTGTCCTCCCTCCTCCAACCCATTTACTCACTTTCCCCATCATCACTGACCTCTACTTGAAAGTTCCTACTTCTTTAATATTGCAATCATTTTCAATATATCCTTCTTAAAGAGTTTTCCCAGAGCCACATAATTATTCTTTAATGATGTAAATTATCACTCTGGGGCCCACATTTTCTCATTGGAAGATATTTTTAAAAATAAAACCTGCTCTTTAAAAAGCAAATATGGTATCATTCAGGGGTACAAGCTTGGTTTTGAGCAATAAGGCACATTCAGTTTTTCAAGAAGACTGAGTTAAAGTGAACAAAATGGATGTGAAATGTAGGTTGTCATGTGTTTTCTAAGAAAATTACCTGACTCTATAGATGCACCCCAAATAATTGGTACTGTCTGGGATGGCTCTTCCTGGTGGTCTCATTGTTTGCATATGTCACCCTTGTCTGGGTGAATCTAGTTTTCTTTGACACACTCATGGAATCCATTGCTTCCTGAAATAAACAGTCCCCTAAAAGGCTAAGCAGGCTATTGAACAAAAATTAGGTTTGAGGTTCCAAAGAAAATTTATAAGTGAAAGCAAACATGTTGACAGAAAATGACTCAGAAATCAGGCATCTTTTTCTTTTTTCTTTTACAGCCAATCTGAAAGTTCAGAAGACAGTTTGGAATGCTTGATAGATGATGAAATGGACTTTGAAATGGTAACCAGGTTTTATCTCTTGATTTAAATATTGTGTTGAGTAAAATATTCATTTCTTCTTTTGAAATTAAAATTTTCTATTCCAAATATTCCATAACTTTCCAGAAGAAAAATATGATTTTGATACTGCTCCTCAGTTGTATATATAGTTCATCTTTGTCATGAGACATTTTATGAAAAAAAATGCTAAAGTAGGTAATAATTTGGGAGACATATTACCTACAGTTTTCCTGTAAAAAATAACCACTTCCTGGCTGCTTATCATTTCATTGGGGCTTGAGATATATTGAGGAGCTGAACTGTAAGATAAATGGACCTTCAACAAAATAACCCTTCATGGCTATAAGATTGACTCTGAGCTAACCCCCACCCTAAATATGACTACAGAAACTCAAAAGGAACACAAAACACTTTATTTTTTTAAATATATTTTTATTGATTTCAGAGAAGAAGGGAGAGGGAGAAAGAAACATTGATGAGAGAGAATCACTGATCAGCTGCCTCCTGTGCACCCACTACTGGAGATCAAGCCCGCAACCCAGCCATTTGTCCTTGACTGGAATCAAACCCGGGACCCTTCAGTTCACAGGCCGACACTCTATCCACTGAGCCAAACCAGCTAGGGCCAAAAAAACACTTTAAAACACCATCTATTATTATATAAAACACACGTTACCCAAGGCATTTTTTTTTCGTGGCAGTAAAAAACACACACAAAATTTACCATCGTAACTATTTTTAAGTGTATGGTAGTGTTAACTACATGCACACGATTGTGCAATAGATCCCTATAACTTTTCATATTGCAAAACTGAAACTCCATACTCATTGAACAACTGTCTAACCCTCTCCCTCTAGCTCCTGGCTACCACTGTTGTAAGAGTTTTATTACTTTAGACTAGAGGCCCGGTGCACAAAAATTTGTGCACTTGGGGAAGAAGGGGGCAGGGGGGTTCCTCAGCCCAGCCAGTGCCCTCTCGCAGTCTGGGACCCCTCAGGAGATAATGACCTGCTGGCTTAGGCCTGCTCCCAGGTGGAAGAGGTCGGGCCAATCTCTAGGTGCAGCCCCTGATCGGGCTCAGAGCAGGGCTGATTGGGGAGTTGGGGCACCACCCCCTGTCATGCACAGAGCAGGGCGGATCGGGAGGTTGCGATGCCACCCTCAGTCATGCTCAGGGTAGGGCTGACTGAGGGGTTGGGGCACCGCCCCCGTCACACTCAAGGCAGGGTCAATGGGGAGGTTGCAGCACCATCCTCTGTCACACACAGAGCAGGGCCCATGGGGGGCGGTTGGGGCGCCAGCCTCTATCACCCACAGAGCAGGGCCGATCAGGGGGTTGGGGAGCCACCACTGTCACACTCAGGGCAGGGCCGATGGGGAGGTTATGGCTCTACCCCTTCACACACAGAGCAGGGCCCGTGGGGGTGGGGGGGGGGATTGGGGTGCCACACACTGTCACACACAGAGCTGCAGGGCGATCAGGGGGTTTGGGCGCTGCCCCCTGTCACGCTGATCCTGGTGCCGGGAGGCCTCATGGCTCTGCTGATCCTGGTGCTGGGAGGCATATTACCCTTTTACTATATAGGATAGAGGCCTAGTGCACGGGTGAGGGCCGGCTGGTTTGCCCTGAAGGGTGTCCTGGATCAGGGTGGGGGTCCCCACTGGGGTGCCTGGCCAGTCTGGGTGAGGGGATGAGGGTTGTTTTCAGGCTGGCGGGTGACTGAAGCTCCCAACCGCTCCTTTTTTTCTTTTTTTCTTTTTTTATTCTGGGCCAGCTTTAGCTCTGAGGCTTGGCTCCAGCTCTTAGGCCTCTGCTGCTGAAAGCAGGTATCTGGTTTGTTTGGGTTCTATAATCGAAACACTGTTTCAACTCCAGCTCTGAGATCCCCGCTGGCTGAAAGCAGGTTTCTGGGGTTTTGTTTAGCTTCTATATTTGTAACAATGTTTCAAACTGCAAGCTCAGAGGCCGGCAGCAGCAGGTGGGGAACGTTGGAGTCTTCTGTTACTGAAGCAAGCAAGCCTCATATTCGCTTCAAGCTGCCTGGCTGTTGGCCACCATCTTGGCTGGCAGTTAATTTGCATATCGCCCTGATTAGCCAATGGGAAGGGTAGCGGATGTACGGCTAATTACCATGTTTCTCTTTTATTAGATAGGATAACTCATAAAAGTGGAATCATGCAGTATTTGTCCTTTTGTGACTGGTTTCACTTAGCATATCTTCCATGTTCATCCATGTTGTAGCATGCGACAGGATTTCCTTCTTTTTATGGTTAACATTCCATTGTATGGATATACCACATTTTCTTTATCCATTCATTCATTGATAGCCATTTAGGTGGTTTTCACCCTCTGGCTATAGAAAAATATGATTAATACGGGTGTATAAAAATTAGATTTACTTAAAATAATGCATACTTACACATAAAATTTTGGAAAATGTAAAATAATTAAAATTAGGGGAGAAAATGGCCTTCATGTAGCCCCCTATCTTTATATTCCTTCTGTTTCTTCTCCCTTGCCTTTCCCTAGACCCCTTTCCCTTTTTCCTGCCCTCCCTCTTCTGCTTCGTCCTTGCTTCTTTTTCCTCACCCTCTGCTTCCACTTTCCCAACGCCTTTCATCTCCCCTACCACCTCCAAAGCCCCTTCCTGAGGCCAGCTTTCCTGTGGAAAGGCTCCTCTGCCATCTCCACCCATGTCTCCCTCACAGTCAGCCTGCTATTCCAGAATGCGTTTTTCTAGGAAGTCACGTGTACCTAGGCAGCATGGTGTTAAGTGAATTATATTCTTCATTATTGATTCACTAGGAGCCAGAGCTGTATTTCAAAGAACCAGAAGAGCTACTTCAGGTCCTCACGGAGCTGGAGGAGCAGAATCTGACCTTGGTACAGTATTCCCAAGATGTAGATGAAAACCTTGAAGAAGTGAATAAACGAGAAAAATTTTTACAGGATAAAATGTAAGTCATTGAACACAAGTAGATTTATCCTATTACGCGAATTCTAACCAGAGACAGAGTCCAACTTATTCACGAGTGGTCCTTCCTGGTGGTCTCTCTGGATTTAAGGTGAAACGTTTACGAACGATATTTACATTGTCTTGCATGAAGAGCTAAAGTTATATGTACACAGAACAGACTGGCTTTAGTTTCATTTTAGTCCCTACTTCCTTTCACATGTCAAAATATTTTCCTAACTAGCAATAGTAAAAGATTCAAAAGAACGGAAGGGTCACTTACCGCCTTAGTTTTTGTTCACACCCATTTTTGCCCTATCATCTGGCTAATCAAACCATCCTTTGGAATTAGTGCTAACAAATGCATTTTCCTTGGCTGTGACTCCCCTCAGCAAAACAGCTTTTCTTGGTGACTCAAATATTGTGTCATTTTGTAATGTGATATCGACATATCAGGGCTGTGATAAAAGGGACTTCTGCCAGGGGAAGGAGGCCAATTTTATATCATTACCATTTTGGTAAACAGCTCCGAGTCGCAGAGAACAGATGTTTGTATCTACCTCTTCTGAAACTGTGTAGAAGCTTTTTCAGAACAGTCACCTGGGCCAGAAGGTGGCAATCTTCTTAAACATTCAACTTCATTGAGCGTTGGGACAGATGAACTTGTTCAGAAGTTATGAACCTAAAAATCATACTCTCACAGCCACCTGTTACCACTTATGTATCCTTTTAATCCGTGTCTCCTCTCTCCCAGTCCTTACAGCTCTGGTGCCCCTATGATTTTGAGGGACGGGTGGGTGTGGTTGGGCAGGAAAAGGGGACCCATGTCCGAACCCATCTCCAGATCTCTGTCAGAATGTCTAGGTGAGGGAGTCAGGGGTCTCTATTTTGAACCCTAGTTTGGGAACACAGACAACAAGATCTCACCACAACTTGAGTTCTCCACACCTCGGCTTTGCTGCTCTCTACTGGAGCAGTCAGGGAAGTAGGAGAGGGGAAGAAAATGCTTCCAGGCAGTGGTTCAAAACAGCCCCTGTGCATTCTTCTCATTTCAACCTGAGAAGTTGCGTGTGTGTTGGCAATGTCTTCACATATAATCTCGGGTTTGGCTTGCTGGACATAGGCTGCTAACACATGATCTGGAAGAGTGTCGATGCTCCTGAGTGATGGTTCATTGCATCAAACCACACACATTACAGACAAGCCTCTTTCTTTTGTCATAGAAATTCAAACATCGAGTTCCTTTTGGAGCAGAAGGAAGTGCTTAGAGATAACTGCGTGAGAGAAGAGGAAAAAGCAGCAGAGCTGGAGTTAAGGTCCAGGCTATTTAGTTTTGGAGAATTTAATTCAGATGCCCAGGTAAGCATTCTTTGCCTATAGCAATCTTATTTTGGCTCATGACAAGAATTTGCATTTACCTCAGTCCTAAGCACTGGAATGGGAGGATGAACAGTAAACCACAAGCCTCGGGTTGATGACACAGGCAGAAAACCAGTTTGGAATAATCTTGCCAGTACGTAACAGTCCACTTACATAGTAAGACACAAAGCATTCAAATTGGCATTGGGGTTCTCTTAAAATGTTGCTCTAATTATGACCAAGTATGATGTTGAGATTTTTCCCCCATAAAAACATTTCTTTTGGGCAGAGTGTATACTAGTACACTCATATTGTACATATGAAGTAGCTCACTGCCTGTGATCATTTTGGTAGAAATTTAAGGAGTATATAATTGACAGGGGAAGGACTGAATCAACACAATGGAATATCTGACCAACACTGAGCTTATGATAAATGTTGGCCCCCTGGGGCTTGTGTGGTCAGTCATTATGGGAGGACCGGTAACACGCGCTAATGTACTCACTTATTTACATGTTAGTCTCTCCCAGCTGGATGCAAACCCCTCGAGGGCAGGGATTTCTTACCCTTCTTGGCTAAGTTTAGTGTCCCTACAGGAGGTGCTCAATAAATGTTTGTTGAATGAATGATTAGGTTAGTTTCTAGAGCCACAACTCCAACTAACATTGGTTTTCTTGTAAAAATCATGATAAAAATTCATGCTGATATGTGAGGTTAATATCACATTTATGGTTATAAACTTGATTTTCAAGCAGAAGTAGATTTGGGGGAACTGTACCAGTCGATGATTGTCCTTCCCTACCCATTGGTAGTCAGGGTTACCAAAAGCACCCTTCCCCCGCCACACACACACTTCCTAGGGTGGTACAGCACCCTGAGTGAGGAGGGGATATGGTTGGGTCGCACACTGTTAGAACAAGAAGTGTGATGCTGGCTACTTTTTAGTTCTTCAATGCTGGTTTTTAAACCATTTTTAAAAATTGTAATAAAATATACATAACATAAAATTTACCATTTATCCATTTTAAGTATTACAATTCAATGGCATTAAATATATTCACAATATTGTGTAACCTTCACCACTATTTATAGAATTTTCCATCATCCCGAATAGAAACTCTGTATCCACTAAACAATGATAGTATTTCCCCATTCCTCTATCTTCCCAGCCTACTTTCTTCCTCTATAAATCCACCTACTTTAGGTACCGCATATAAATAAAATCACACGATAGCTGTCCTTTTATGCCTGGCTTATTTCACTTAGCATGTTCTCAAGGTTCATCCATGTTGTAGTGTGTATCAGAATTCCTTTGATGACTGAAAAATATTCTATTGTATTTATTTACCACGTTATTTATCCATTCATCTGTTGATGGATACTTGGGTTGTTTCCACCCTTCAATTTTGCTTAAATAATTCTGAAGCTGATTGACATGAAAAATGTCAGATAATGTGATAGCGCCCCTCCTTCCCACCAAGCCCCTTTCATCCAAGTGTAGGGCAGCTATAAAAAATGTAGCATTTTCAGTACTCTTAAACTTTGAGGCAACCTTGTACAATTTATCTGAAAATTACTTTTAAAAGACTGAGATTGCGGTCACAGGTGTAATATTGGCATTCATGTATTACCCTCTCTGGGAAAAAGCACTCTCTCTTAGGGATGTAAAATGCTGGGGTGGGAAGAGAGCAAATAAATTGTCAGGGAAAAGTATTATTTTCTTAGAATTTTCTTGCTTTCCCATTCCCATTCTTTCAGATCTCAACACTTGCAAAACATAATTTTTTATGAGTAAATAAACAGTTGCACCTAATTTTGAAATTCACAAAATTATCAGTTACTTTGGCACTATAGTCAATTATGATCTATGAAATCATTTTTATTCTTTGAAAACTTCCACACGCCTAACTGTACTTAATCCCCTAAAAAAACACTTTTCATTAATTCAATATATTACTTTGAGAATAAAATTTTAAATTCAGGCATAGATTTAATGTAATGTTCAAATGTGCACAAATCATATGTACCTCTCAAAGAATTTTCTCAAAGTAAGCACAGCCCCGTACCTCTCCCTAGATCAGGGAAGACACATGATCAGCACTCCCAGAAACCTCTTGCCATCCCTTGAAGGTGACCACTATCCTCACTTCTCCCTCACTTCCATGCTTTTGAAGGTGACCACTATCTTCACTTCTCCCTCACTTCCATGCTTTTGAAGGTGACCACTGAGCTTGAGATGGATGGAACCGTGTAACATGCCTGGCTTGCCTGGCTTCTTTCTCTCAACATTATGTTTGAGATTCATCCATTTTGTGTAGCAGCTGTTTGCTCACTTTCATTGGACATGAAATGGAGTGTAAGCTATTCCATCGTTTAATCTGCAGAATGTAGTCACCTCTGGTTTAATTTTCCTTTCAACAGGGCACTGATGCAGTTCAATTGGGAGTTGTTTACATTAAGCACGCAGTAGAATGTGACATGGATAAGGCTTACAGAGTCCTTGAGTTGGAAAGGGACTTTAAATGACATCTAGACATCTCCCCATTCCTATCCAATTTTGATAGCAATGATTCCTTCTATCTACTGCTCTGGTCGGATCACTTCCCATTCTGTTGGAAGGCATCCAATGTTCTTATCCTCGTAGTCTTCCACCATCCTGCCCCACTGAACCTCAGGGAGCAGGCACACCTCCCCCTGCAGCCCCTCCTCCTCCGAGCTCTGGGCTGGGCCTGCCCCCTTGTGGCAGCTCCAGGGATTGGACTGACATTTGGTTTCTCTGTCAAGAGTAGGCCTGCATCTGGAGCTTCCCTTTTCTCTGCCCTCGTGCTCGTTAGAGCCAGGCCCTCAACCTCTTTTTCATGAGTATTTTCTTTAACCTCGCCCCCTGCTTCTATTTCTCATGCCGTTCTTACCTTAAGAAAACATCTTTCCTTGTCTTTTCCTCTCGTTTGACAGGAGGAACTTAAAAAAACAAACAAAAAAGGCTACTGCCCATCCATCTCTAAAAGGCTTAAGTGTTCAAGAAGTCTCCTTCAGAAATTTCCGTCAGTTAACCATTCTCATATGAAAGTTGCTTTTTCTGGGAACTAGTGTTCAATGTATTTTTGAAATGACTCACATAGCAGCAATATTGTTTTTTCACATCCAATGTATACTTCCGTCCTTTGATGGGTTACTTTACCTTTCATTTTTCTGTGTTTCTGAAGTTTTCTAAAGAAATGTGCTGTTAATATAAATGGGAAATACAATAGGTGTTATTTAGAAAGGGAGAGGAAAAAAAATAAGCTGAATGGCAGATAGGACTTTTGCTTTGTTCTTTTACTTGTTCCTTTTATATTATTTCAGACTTCCCTAAGTTTTCTTTAAAAAGCATATTTTAATATAAATAGGAAATAGAAAAAAAAATTTGAAAAACGGGGGCTTTCTGGTAAATAGAACCATTGGAAAGGTGGTTAAAGTAGGAGGTGGGAGAAACAAGCTGTTGGAAGTCACCTCCTGGTAATAGATCGTGACCTGTAATTGTTGGTGGCTCCGTAAGGAGTCCCACGACTCCAGGAGCCACATCTGTCTTGAGTTTTATTTTTCCTCCTTGGCTTCATGGTGATTCTCATCTTCTTGAGCAGAAGCAGGCATTCGGGCAGAATGCTCTCTGGAGACACCTTAACCTTGCCCAGCAGTTTATTGAGACCCTCTTAACTGCGAATGCTGAGCCCCCAGAAGAGAATGAGGATGAGAGTTATCTTTCGGTCCCGAAACACATCCCGAAACAAGTTACCTACAAGCTCGAGCATATCAACTACGTGTTAAAACGAAGGAGTAGCCAGGTACAGGGATCAGCAAGGTTTGGCCTAAGCCTCTGTGTAGACTAGAATACTGCCATGACTTCCCAATGGAGAGAGTGAAATTTAAACTTCCCCAAAGGCTTTTGTAGGCCAGCCAGGGCATCTGTTTTCTTGTAACTGTTCTTTTCCTCTGAGAGAATGCATTCATTTATTCAGCAAACATTTAGTAAGTGCATAGTTATGTGCAAGGTGCTGTTTTAGGTGTAAGTGTTAACCTCAGAAATAGCTCCTGCCCTCCAGGTGCTTACAGTCTAGACAGGGAGAGAAGGCATGCATGCAAATAACTATTAGAGAGGATGATTACAGTTTTAGCAATTAGACTAAGAAGTGCAAAAAAAAAAAAAAAAGGCTTACCTGCAGTGCTGCAAGGAAAGACATTGCAGTGGCAAAACAGGATTTAAATGTGTATGTCACCTCTACGTGAATGCCCAGGGAATCAGATACACAAAAACATTTTTTTAAAAATCACAATTACTTTTATACCTAGAATAAAATATTTTTAAAGAAAATAATCCAAGGTGTTACTGTAGCAATGATCTGTCTATAAATTGTTATAAATATCATTGCTGCATTTTCTCACTCTTCTAAGTCACACTGAAGTTTTTCTTTTAAAGGAAACATTTAGTATTATATAAAAGCCTTTTCATTATACTATAGTAAAACAGAACTTTACATTTATTGAACAAGCAAATAGTGATGTGATGTTGTTTTCTGCTTTCCTTTTTTTCTCACTCTCAGGAAAAACTGATAGACTCTCTTAGTAAAAAAATTAACCAAGTCTACAGATTCTGCATCGGAGATGGTGAGGTTGGCAGCCTCAACCCACTCCAAAAGCTGGTAAAAGTAGAGTCTCGCCTGGTGGAACTGAGTGATCTCATTGATGCCATTCCCAAAGAAAATGTGGAGGCAATTGAGAGGATAAAACAAAAAGAACGACGGCAAAAGTATGTCTTATATAAATGTAGTGGATGACTTAATGAGTAGTTGTATTTGTTTGGATTCCACATTTAGTAAGTCTCTATTATATGGCAAAGATAACCACATAGAGACACAGTGGGAGGAACCCACTGCCCTGCCCTCCTCATAGAACTATTTTTTAGTGGGAAAACACATTCACCAAATACAATCTATACTAATAAAAGGGTAATATGCTAATTAGACCAGGTTGACTGGACATCTTCCGGACGTCCGACTTCTTTCCAGACAAAGCCATGATGGCAGGGGCCGAGGCAGAGGCAGTTAGGGGTGATCAGGCGGGCAGGGGAGCAAGCAGTTAGGGGCCATCAGGCCTGCAGGGGAGATCAAGCAGTTAGGGGTGATCAGGCCAGCAGGGGAGCAGTTAGGAGTGAGATCAGGCCAGTGCAGGGGAGCAAGCATTTAGGGGTTATCAGGCCAGCAGGGGAAGGCAGTTGGGGGTCATCAGGCCAGCAGGGGAGGCCAGTTGGAGGCGATCAGGACAGCAGGCTGAGGTGCTTAAGGGCCATCAGGCAGGCAGGCAGGCAGATGAACCAGAAGCCAGGCTCACAGCTGGCGAGTGCAGCGGCAGTGGTGGGAGCCTCTCCTGCTTCTGCGGGCCTAAGCCATCAGTCAGACATCATCCAAGGGCTCCCAGATTGCTAAAGGGTACAGGCCGGGCTGAGGGGATCTCCCCCCGCCCCCCCAGCCCGGCCCGCCCCCCCGCAGTGCATGAATGTTGTGCACTGGGTCTCTAGTTATGAAATAAATGTGCCATTACCAATGGAACATGAGCACTGAGGAGGAAAGGAACCAGAAGATCAGAAAGTTCACCAGATGCAACTTCCAGTTTATCTGTAAAATAGCAGTAATGACTTATAGAGTTGTTGTGAGGATTAAATTAAATGACCTATGTAAAAGCAATAAAGCATGTTTGGCACATAGTAAGATTAGCCATTAATATTATTTTGTTACTGCTTACTATATTACTGGTGCATGTGGGATACTGCTTCCCACATATAAAAATGAAGTCCAGAACAGATTAAGGTGATATTGAGAAGTTTTATCAAATATAAAGCAAATGTTTAAAATAATTTTAAGATAAAGATTACTCCTTCCATTACATGACCTATAATTACACTAATAACACTTGTATCTTTTTTTTAACATACATTTTTTATTTCAGAGAGGAATGGAGAGGGAGATAGAAACATCAATCATGGGAATCATTAATTGGGTACTTCTTGCACGCCCCCTACTGGGGATCTAGCCCACAACCTGGGCATGTGCCCTTGACTAGAATAAAAACCTGGGACCCTTCAGTCTGCAGGCCAACACTCTATCCACTGAGCCAAAACAGCTAGGGCCACTTCCTTTTTTCAGCAGAAAATAGTTATCCAAGGATAATTACAACTTATTTTCAGTAGTGATACATGAATCTAATTCCAATTGTTTATTGTTCTTATCCAGAGAATTTTAGTTTGGAGGCACCTAACATAATATCTGATCTGGCATAAAAGTATTTAACACATGTTAACTCTTAAAATTAAATATGTCCATGAAATAGCTATCATTTATTGAGTGCCTATTCTGCATCGAGCATTGGAGTAGAAAGATTGTCTATAGTGGTCGGCAAACTGCAGCTCGTCAAACCACGCTCGCGAGCCACATGCAGCTCTTTGGCCCCTTGAGTGTGGCTCTTCCACAAAATACCATGTGCGGGTGCGCACGTACAGTGTGATTGAAACTTCGTGGTTCATGCGCAGTAGTCGGTATTTTGTGGAAGAGTCACACTCAAGGGGCCAAAGAGCTGCATGTGGCTCGCGAGTCACAGTTTGCCAACCACGGGTCTAGGTCATCTAATTTTATCCTCACAACCCAAAAGAAAACGACAAGTTGCATTTGTTGGTCTTACTTTGAGAATACCATTCAAAAAGATTAACTGGAAAATGCATTTTTGTGGTAATTCACTGAACTACACATTTGTGTCTGGTGTACTTTTTTGTATATTTCAAGACTTAAGGGAGGGTTGGATAACTGGAAGTTAATTGGAGTGGCCATTGTACAGATGAATTGTGACGTGCTGAGTTTGAGTGATGAGAAGGCTTTACTGAGGTGCTTATTTAGACTAAGAGGGGATAGATTTTTACTTCTTCCAAAATGGTGGCATGCAATTTCTTCCCATTTCAACACAAATCGGATGTGTTATTGAGATTTCACTTGAATATTCAAAAGCCATAATTATGGGTGAAGATGAATTATTACTTTCATTTAACCTTAATGGAAATAATATTTAGATTGGTCATTTACTTTCTGTGACTTCTAGTTAGAACATTTTCCCCTCTTGACAGGTTTCGTGAAGAGAAAATGAGAGAAAAACAAAAACACCAAGAAGAAAGGCTAAAAGCTGCTCTGGAAAGAGCAGTAGCACAACCAAAGAAAAAGGTTCGTGTTTTGCTATTAATAGGTCCAGCTACATCAAAGTGTGAGTGCTTCTGTGGTATAAAAAAATATCTAATTCACCGAATTTATCCAGATAAAACTTCAGAAGTCTTTCTTGCTCAGCTTCAATTGGTCTCTCTCTGGTTCCTTGTTACTTTTAGAATAATTCAAATTACTGGGTAACAGTTCTCCATTAGGCCTACTTTTCAGTAAAAGAAACTTGTCCCTTCCTCTTTTTCTTTCCTTCCAGGTTCACAAAACCAGATAACTTTAAAAACTAATTTTTTGAATAGGTAGTACAGGCATATGGTTCCAAGTTCAAAAGATACAAGAGTAGTTAGTGAAAGTTGTCATCCTTAGTTCCCCCTGCCCCAGAAATAATCATTGCTAACAGTTCCATCTGCATCCTTCTGGAAATATCCTATGTATTTGTGTCAATTATTCTTAATGGTAGCTGATAATCTTGCTTCTTTCACTTAACAATGAAAATAGTGAAGCTAGAGAATTACATATAACTGGGTCTTCTAACCCTCACATTGTAAAAATAATGACATTAATAGTTGGAGTTAAAATTATATCCCCAGCGTCACTCCAGATGTAAAAGACGAATCAGGACTGGAAGCCAAGGTTCTGTATATTGAGGATCACCTGTAATAAGAAGTTTGGGATTGGGCAGTCAGAGAGTTTACGGTCGGTCTCCGCACCGAGTGTGGAGGGCCTTTTGTTTCCATATGCTGCTCTCCCTCCTCTAGCTCTGGGTCTGAAATATATTCTAGGAACCCAATTTCATGGCTATCTACAAAGATAATGTGGAAATTGGTTGTTAACACAGTGATAGCTAACCCATAGTGAATGCTTATTGTGCACCTCACAACCAGCCTTTTGAGGTAAGGACTTGAAAAAAGTTCCGAAGTATGGTAATTGTAAATATGTGTATCAAAAGGTAATGATTACCTTATTTTATTTATATTAACATTTCATCTTAAGGAGTCTGTACCTCTCTAGTTCAGGTGTTCTATGAACACCTGACTTGTCCTCTTCCTCCCAAGAGAGGATTAACCATTCATCATTCTCCCACATGTACACACTCAACTAAACCCACAAAATTGAAATTATTTAAAAATATACCCTTCCTTCTAGACCAGCCGTGGACAAACTACGGCCCGCAGGCCGGATCCGGCCCGTTTGAAATGAAAACTCAAAAAAAAAAAAAAAAGACTGTACCCCTTTATGTAATGATGTTTACTTTGAATTCATATTAGTTCACACAAACACTCCATCCATGCTTTTGTTCCGGCCCTCGGGTCCAGTTTAAGAACCCATTGTGGCCCTCAAGTCAAAAAGTTTGCCCACCCGTTCTAGACCATGAATGAGTTTTATGACCTCTGTATCTCTACTGCCTAGCACACGGGGGATACTCAACAAATACTTGTAAACAGACTAAAAATGAGAATGAAAACTAAAACTGGGAAGAAAATAGAAAATAAAAATGGTGATCTGATAAACTGACAATGTATGAAAACTTGTGATAGTTCTTACCTAGTTGGGATACTTCATCACGGGAAAGTTTCTCAGATAAAAAATTCTGACTTTAGGAAAGGAATTCAGGGGTTCCGTTCCCCTAAGGGCATTTTTGTTGCTATAATTATGGGGAGGAACTCTACTGTCATTTAGTTCACTGGGGCCAGGAATGTCAAACATTCTGCAATGCAAAGGACAGTCTCACATAGGGATAGTGCTCCTTTTGAGACACAACAGAGATGCCTCATCAAATCTCAAGTCCAACAGACTATCACAGTTTTGTCACCTATTTGATACAAATTCAGCTGTCAAAGCAAAACCAAAAAGTTTACAGAGGAAAGACTAAAGATGATATAATTGAGTATATGCCCCAGAGAAAATGAGTAGGTGTGAAACTAAGTATTTCCCTAAGCCTATCCTGGTGGGAACACCTCCAAGAGCCTCCATTTCACTAATGTTTAAAATCAATCCCTATGTAATTGACTATTTACTATTTTAAGCCATATTATTCCTTGGAAAAATCAAGTTAATATTAGTATTTTACTTATACTTCAATAGAAAAAGATTATTCTAAAGAATATTATTTCTTTTGTTTCAGCTGGGAAGAAGACTTGTCTGTCGTTCAAAACCGTTATCTGATAGCAAACATCGACTACTTTTAGTCAAGGATACAAGAGTAAAATCAATAGAGGAAGAGTATTTTTTCACTTGAATAGAAGCAGTAAGGCCAAAATGTTTTAGGCATATTTTAAAAATTCTGGTTTACAGTAATGGCAATATTCTGCCCCATATGCTTGCCTAATCAATGTGATTTAGACATGCCCTTGTTCCAAAGGTTATAGGATTGGAAATGGGGAGTTATTTCCTTTTGTTGAAGGCTTTTTATTATCCATTGCCTAAGTATTATTCTAAACATTATACACCTATACTTCGATTTGTCCAAGTTGGGGATACACATCCAAAGTTATTTTATTGATGTAACTATACGGTTAATGACCATTAAACCGCAATAGTGGCATCCTCTGACATGAGACTTTGAGGTTATGTCTCAGAACATAATTGTGAAACTGGTTTTTAATTCATATTAAGGAGTACTGTTCAGAAACTTAATCCTCTTAAATGAACAAACCCAACTGTCTTCAACCTAAATGTCAGTTCACAATTTCTGTTGTGCTGTATATCCACAATCATTTTCATTTTTGTTGATGTTTCATTTTAGCTATATGTGTATACTATTTAAGCGTACACTATAATTTGTCTATTACTAAGTAAAAAAAAAAATATATATATATTGATACAAAGAAAATAGTTCACTGTATACATGTAAAAAAATGGCTCAAAAAACTTTAAAAGAAGCAGTTGCTTTTAAAAGGTCTCAGTTAATATATAAGTACAAGAAAAGGGCTGTAATTCATCTTTATAAACATTTATGAAGCATATAAATAACTCTCCTTTGTAAAAAAAAAAATAAGAACATTGGGCTTATGAAAGAAAACCAACTTCAATGAAATTGGATAGCTTTTAAAGCCTTCCTTCTGTAAATAATTTTTCAGTTGTTTCAATATTGAGTTTTGCATGTAATAGTTCACAAGTCAAGTTGAAAAAACAAATTTTTATTGTCTAGAAATATATATAAAAAGAAATTTCCCACAAAAGATGCTATTCTCTCATTTCTCCATCTTCTTCCTCTTCTTCAACACCCCTGATATAAAGGACATTATTACACCTGTAGACAGAAAAACAGTTCATTTTGTTGTTCCAACTGGAAACAATGTAATATCTGATTTACAATTACTAGATTTTTTTCATTACAAAAATACTGACTGCTAAATTTATAATATAGCGTTTTTTCCTTTCTCTTTTTAAAGTTTTACCACTGATTTTTTACAAAGCACATGGCACTTATTTTCTCACCATGTGGTTGTTATAAAATGGTATCTTTATGATCTTCCAAAGGGAATGACTAGAATTTGAAGGTATAAAGTTAGTTCTAGAAAATGAGTTTAACTAAAAATCCTAGCAGCAGCCAGATCCAACTACAATTAAAAACCAAGCTCTTTTAATTAAAACCACTAAAAAAGGTTACAGCTAAAACCAGAAAGTTTAATATCAATATTAGAAAAATATTAAGGATGAATAGCTCCAAAATACTTAAATCTTTGACAAGTTTAACAATTTCAGACTCTTGAAGTCTAGTTGTAGAATAATTTGGTAAATTAATAGCGTTTTTAAAAAGTAATTCTGAAACTGAGACACTAAATTAGTTTTTTTAAACAGATTATTTCTAAGGTTCACCAGTAATTCCTTACATATACTACTACTGTTTTGTTACCTTATTAAAACTTCACCCAGGTGTCCAGACAAGGCTCCATCTATGTATTCTTCTGTGTTTGCAAGCTTTAAATAAAAAGAAAATATATTAATGATACAGAAGGAAAATAGCTAAGACACACCTAATACCGGTGAGAGAACTTGTTAACTGAGACCTTTTTATATCAACTCATATTTATCTATAATTAATATTAGTTTTCTATTACTATTGTAGTACATATGGTTTCATATAAATATTAGGTAAAAGTTAACATTGATGTATGTAGAATATATAGTAAAAATTGTTTCAACATAGTTTTTTTAAAATCTCTCAGTTGTGTAATATTTCTTTCTAGTAGACATTAGAATAACATGTCAAGGAAGGAAATCTCCAAAATTATGAATAAGTTGACTAAAGTTTTCCAAAGCAGAAATTAACTTCTCTTGGAATACTAACTTTATACTATAGTATCATATTGAGGAACCTAATGGATGTACAAAAGTTATGGCTAAAATACTTTCATATTAGTCATCAACCAAACCAAAGTCTTGAAGAATTTTTTTTAATTACGTGCTAAAAAACAGGAAAACATGTTCTTAAAAAGGAGGTTAGACAATAGAGTAACCTTACAAGCTTCCAGTTACAAAGTAATCACTAGGATATAATCTATAGCACAGGGAATATAATCAATATCACAATAACTCTGTATAGTGACAGATGCTTACTAGATTCATCATGATCACTCTGTAAGGCATATATATGTGTGTGTGTGTGTGTATGTGTATAGATATCTATACACATACACACACACACACATATATGTGTGTCCTAAAAAAATGTACACACACTTTGAATGATTATAAAGTCAGTGTTTATCAATATACAGTTCATTTTCAAAATTTAAAATAATCTTGGGTTTTCCATGAGTTTGTAATGTTCACCCAAAATGTATGCTGTAAATCAGACTGTTCAAATGCCAAGGGCATCTAAAAGTGGCATGAAAGTCGCTTTAAAGTTGAAATTTGGAGAAAAGAGTACTACACACTGAATACATATACTGAATTTTCCGAATGCTCTCAGCCCACTTGAGAAAGATAAATCAAATTCACTGCATATCACACAATAGAAGGCCTCCTACAGGATTCCCTCAGATGGCCGTGGGAATATATTTTTCTGGTTACAGTGCGTTTTGAACCAATATGCCATGCACACATGATCACTCTGTAAGGCATATATATGTGTGTGTGTGTGTGTATGTGTATAGATATCTATACACATACACACACACACACATATATGTGTGTCCTAAAAAAATGTACACACACTTTGAATGATTATAAAGTCAGTGTTTATTAACATACAGTTCATTTTCAAAATGAAAAAAATCTCCAGACATGAATAATTTGATTTGTCATCTCCTGCTTTCAAACTGATGACCGTTCTGGTCCAGTTACTGCTGATAATGCGAAGGAATGGAATAGCAAACACCAAGAATCATTTTGTTGGGTATCTGTGCACCCTTAATTCGCCAACTGTTGCCAGTTTTGTACCATAAACTCTCTTTTATGTATCCCCATAAAAAAGTCTAGTGGATAAATTTTCTTTGTTCAAAGCTTAATTTGGTTTCACTCATCATTTCAAATCAGTTAAACCTGAAAAGGAGTGAAAATTAAGTGAGTTATCAGCTGTTAAAGTGTGTATACATTTTTGGGAGACACACTTTGAAGAATTATAAAGGCAGTGTTTGTACTTCAACTACATTTTCAAACTTCCAGTAGCATTTTAGGATGAATTTCCTTTGTTCAAAGCTTAGTCTGGCTGAAAAGAAACATCAATTGAGCTATCAGCTGTTAAGGTGTGTATTACATGTTTTTTGGGACACCCTAGGTAGCTAGATAGATATAAAATCACTATATTATAAGCCTAAAGCTAAGTATTATAATACTTTATTTTGATCCAAAACACTTTAGGAACTGGGATTTGATATTCATAAGTATTTAAATGCAACATTTTCTTTACTATTCTGGCTTGTGGGTTACATACCTACTATGTGATAAAATATTTTATACAGGGATTTGTGGAGACTTGAGGTCTGATATAGCCTTCATGTTTCAACTGTTAAATGTTCAACATTTAAAAGTTTTGAAAAAGTGACCTTTATAGTTAGGGAACTATATTACTCTAATTTTAGATCAAAATGTTTAGTTTTAGTTTTCTTCTACATACAGATAATAAACTTTACTTTTAATTTTTAAAAATCACAATCGATATAATGGGCACTCAATAAATATGTGCTAAGAGGACAAACTCAAAGGCATCATTAATGTAGTTACGTTACTTCAAAACTGGCAAGTTCACTAGGAAGTTATATTACTTTTTTAAAAAATTATTCTTTATTGTTGAATAAAGTTACATTACTTTTAAAACCAAATATTTGGCAGGTATTCTTTACTCCCTTCTTTTATTGAGATACTAGAGGCCCGGTGCATGAATTTGTGCACTGGTGGGGTCCCTCGGCCTGGGATCGGGCTGAAACCAGTTCTCTTGACATCCCCTGAGGGGTCCCAGATTGCAAGAGGGCACAGGCCAAACTGATTACTGCTTAGGGAATTTTCCAGGCCAAACCATGCTCTTTATAAATCTTGGGGACATGAGCATCATCTGTTCAGGTAGAAAATAGTATGGCTGTTCCTCAAGAAATTATACAAAGAATTACTGTATGATCCAGCAATTACATTTCTGATATATAACTAAAACAGACTCAAGCAGATATTTGTATAGCCATGTTCACTGCATTTGTCACACTAGTCAAAATGGGGAAATAATCCAAATGTCCAACAGAATAGATTAAAATGCAGAGTATACATATAATGAAATATTACTTCCATAAAAAGAAATTCTGATACATGCTACACCAAATGAGCTTTGAAAATATTATGCTATAAGCCAAAAGGACAAATTTGTAGGATTCCATTTATATGAGGTACCTTTAATAGAGAGACAGAAAGAATAGTATTTACCAAGGGACTGGAGACAGCGGAAATGGGGAATTACTGTATTTTTTAATGGGTATAGATTTCACTGTGGGATTGAGTCATACACTTGAAAATGGTGAAAGTGGCACATTTTGTTATCACAGTTTTTCAAAAGTTCACAGAAATATTCACAGAAGCTAATGTAACAGACATGCAGTCAGCTGATCATTTCACTTGACTGATATGTCTTTTCCCTCAAGAAATCCTTTTATGGAATTACTCTGATGTTGTACTTTCAGCATTAATTAAAAACTTAAGAATTTGTCCTAACTGGTTTAGCTCAGTGGATAGCTTTTTTTAAGTAAGAATTTTACTTGAAAAAATTTTTTCAGAGTTAAGTGCTGAGAAAGGTTTTTCTTTTTCTGCAAATTTGTGTTTTCCCCTTCTGGCAATAGGAATCAAATGTCCAAGCTCTTCTTACTTTTAACAACTAGGGTCAAATCTGGGGCTGTATTTTGGTTTAACACAGGGGTGGGCAAACTTTTTGACTCGAGGGCCACAATGGGTTCTTAAACTGGACCGGAGGGCCGGAACAAAAGCATGGATGGAGTGTTTGTGTGAACTAATATAAATTCAAAGTAAACATCATTACATAAAAGGGTACGGTCTTTTTTTTTAGTTTTATTCATTTCAAACGGGCCGTAGTTTGCCCACGGCTGGCACGTCTCATATGCAGTTCATCACATCCTCCCTGATCTTGGCTTTTCCCCCTGAATTTTTGCTTTATCAATTTAATTAACTGCATTCTCATAAGTCACACTAAACCTTAGAGGAATAAGGTGAAGAAAAAGAAATGCAATTTAGTGATTTTTATAATTCTTTAGCTTACCTGCATGTTCATATAGCCATCTACAGATACCAGGTAGCCTTTGTACTCCATTCCCCACTTAAGTTTCA